CCCTGCCGTTCCCCTACTTATCCGTGTGGCTGCGCCCTCAGCAACAACTGCCACTGTGAGATCTGGCCAGGATACCAGCACGGACACCCCCAGATAGGCCAAGCGCATCTTTAATGCTCCAGCAGACGAGCAGCAGCGGGAGCAGCAGCAGCATGCGGACACCAGGCAGCCCAAGCGGAGGGGGAGTTTGCCACGCAACGCCACGCCGTCCCCACGCAGCCCTCCCGCTCAGCTAACCAAAGGCACGGGTAGGGGACCAGGAGGCATCCGACCCCATCAGTCACACAGCCGGATATAGGATTCCGCTGACCAGAGCCAAAAGTATGGGAAGACCTTCTCAGTGAAGGAGGCCTTGAACTGGAAGATCTGTGTCATGTTTTCCACGTTGTAGAAGGTCACTTCACCGGCTTCGTAGTCCAGGTGGACCCTGATCTGCCGGGGCGCTTCTTCCAGCACCAGCGGGGTGGGGGGCATGGTAAGCGCCATGTACTGGCGATCCCAGTCCAGCCGCACGGCCCAGATCCCTCCCATGGCGAGGCTGAGCGCTTCCTTCCTCTGCACGGACTCCACGGCCACCCCCACGGCCCAGCTGTCCCCGTCCCCCACCTCCAGCTCCCAGTAATGCCTCCCTGCCGTGAACCCCTGGGAGCCCAGGACGCTGGGGCTGCCTGTGAATCTCTTGGGGGTGTCAGGGAGCTTTTGCTGTCCTTCCCCAAGACGCACGGTTTTGCCGTCCTTCGACAGGACCAGGTAAGGGTTTGCCGTCTCCGGGTCCAGGGTCACCTTCACTAACGAACGACAGAGGGAAACGTCAGTCCGTCGTCCGCCGACAGGCAAAGCAGTGCCTCTCCCGACATCCCGCAAGCAGGCACGCAGCACGTGCAGCCCCCTCGCATGGCACAGGACCCTCCCCACCCTCCCTGCAGGGACCCAGAGGCTGCAGCCCCACGTCCACCACGGGCGAAGCTTGGCAGAAGCAACACTTCCCAGAGCAGGACTGGGCCAAGCAGCGTCCCCACGCCCCGGGGCTCTTTGACACAGAGGAGGATGCTCTGAATTCCTGCCGACACACTGCGCTTTGCCAAACCTCTGCTTCCCAACATCCCCGTTATTGCTGGGCTTAAGCATGACAGAGCTGCAGCACTCCCAGCCAGGCTGGGCACAGGGGTACCCAAAGGGCCGCAGGGGAACAGCCTATCGCCGGGGGAAGTGAGGAAGCGTTACGTGTGATGGTGCCAGGCCAAGCCCTGCTCCGCTGTCAAGGGACAAGCGCCCACCAAAGAGAGAAGCCGCTCCCAAGGCCCCGCTCTGCCCGCTAACCAGGCAGTCTCATTGCAAAGCCGGAGCCATCTGCTAACGCAGGATGCTCTGCTGCCATCCTGCGGCCGTCCCGCAAGGCCACAGAGGTGTCACCGCCCAGCACCACCACCCCGGTCCCTCTGCTAAGCCCGCTCCTCCTGGGGCCTCTGCTCGTGGCGGGGACCGCGGCTTAGGGGAAACTGAGGAACGCCATCCTGCGAGTCTGGTCCTCGGCCACGAAACCACAAGGCAGCGACCAGCCTCACCACAAACAGCTCCGACCAGCTCCGAGCCCTGTGGTGCTCCCAGGCCCGAAGGCACCCCCAAGCGCGTGCAGAGGCATTTCCCTTCTGTGCCTAAAAACCAGCTCAAAATGCTTATGGGCCCCTCTTGCTCCGGCCACAGGAACGGACCCACCTGCGTTTATCTACTAAATCCCTTACAAATCACGGCGAAAGAAGAGAAACTCTCCAGAGAGACAGCGAAGCCGAGGGCCCAGTGCTGCCCTGGCAGAGGGTCTTGTGCAGTGCTAGAGAACGGTGTCTCTGGCGGTTTCTCAGCTTGGGAATGGGCCTGCATTTTTATAGTGGGCCTAGTCAAAATGAAGGGACCTGGACTCAGATGTCATGGTGTGAGCCTATCTCTACCCTCTGGACATGAGGAAACTTATTTCAGGAAAGCTGTTCTCCCTTGCTTGTGCCCACCAGCTCCAGAAACTTACCCTTTTCTCTATCCATCTTGTTCAGCAGATTCACTAGAGGAAGGAAAGGGGGAGGGATGAGTTCTCTTTCCTCTTGCAGCCTCTTTCCTGCTCCCCTTAGAGCACTGAGGCCATCAGAGATGAAATCCTGATCTGGGCCCCACTGCCCACCTCCTGCCGCCCACCCCAGGCTCCAGCAAAGCCTGTCTCAGAGCTGCGGCCCTGCCTGGAGCCGGTGCGATGAGCCCGTGCCCTGGGCAGAGGCCACAGCGCGAGGATGCTCCCGGGAGCAGCTCTGCCACGGACACGTGTGTGCAGCGGAGACAAGCAGGAGGCACAGCTCGTGGCTTCTGCAGAGCCCCCTCCTAAACCCCCTGGGCACCAGGCGGCTCGCAGATGAGCTTCAGCAAACGTGTTCATTAAAGATAGCATGGCCCAGTGCCCTGGGGCAGCGGCAAACCCACGTGGGGCCTGGGCGCAGGCTGTGCAGCAAGATATCGCTCACTGCTTCTTTGCTTTACCTTTGAATTCAGCCATGGCACCCATGACCATCTTGCTCGTCTTGGAGAGGCTGCAAACTCTCCTCTGCAGCTCTAAGGAAACCGGCTCCGGGATCGGGGCTTTCGCTGTCTCGCAGCTAGGAAGACACAGTAACGTGGAGGTGAGCCCTCACCACAGCAGTGAGCCAGCACCTGGGGCCAGGATGGAGACAGCGGGGAACAATCCCGTATAGCAAGAGGAAACGTCTGCCTGCAAAATTCAGCTGAGCTATTACTCTCCTCATCTCACGCAGGGTCCTGCGGCGCTCAGCCGCCCCCATGCTGGACACGGCTCACGCAGCGGGGCAGCCTCTGCCCCTGGTGGGATGGCACAAGGCAGGAGAGGGAGGCTGAGCCACAGGGAGAGACTGGCCACCCCGGAGCCCAGCGGGTGCAGAGCAGAGATGAGAGCCTGGGCCTCACTGCGTCCTGGCTACCAGCACAGAAACCTCGTCTTTGTCAGGCCGGGAGAGAGGCTGGAGAGATGCTGGGGGGCGCAAAGCCGACTTCCCAGCACTGAGCTCACCCGGCATTCAGGCGCTTGGCGCTTCTGAAGGCCGGTTTGTCTGTGACTTGCCCAACCCTTCTTTTAGCAAATATAGAGCAAAATAGAAATAATTTAGTGCTGGAAAAGAATATAAGGCAAAAAAAACCCCAAAAGCTAAGTTTTTGCCTACTGCAGGTTCCAGCTATTGCTCCCAGAGCTGCTCCACCCCCAGCCATACAACCAGCTTTGGTTCCTGATAACATCACATTAAATCCAAATACTTTGCAGGGCAAAGCCACTTCCCCTCTTGGCTACTGCTGCTGAGGCTCCTGCAGGGTTTCCAAACCTCTGCCCAGGAGGAGAGCGACGCTGAGCCCGTTTCTTACCTGTTCAGGGTGCTGTCAATATCCTAGGAAGGACAGAAAACACTAGTTCAGTTCTGACACTGCCACGAAGAACCACAGCGCCTGGGGCGGCGAGTTACACAGGTTGCTCCCCCGCTGCATGAAGGACTTGCCTTCCTCTGATTCAAACCAGTCTCCTCCCAGTGTCCCCCAGTGCCTCCAGTTCTCCCACTGTGGGACTCGGTGGACAACAGTGCAGGCTGCCGGACTTCACCCCTTCAGCTCCCTGTCCTTCCCATCACCTGCACCTTTCCCTTGCTCCCTGCCACTGCTGACCATCTCCCTGCGAGGCATCGCGCAGCCAGGCCCACGTGCCCCCGCAGCCACCCCGCACGGGACCCCCTCGC